TGGACCTTTGGAATATGACACTAAGAAACTCTTTTATTCAACTCCTGTAGAGAATGTTGGGTTTTGTTTTTGTTGTTGTTGTTTGTTCATTTGTTTTTAGCAGTTTACCTGGCTTGATTTAGGCACAAGTTCCGACCTTCCTTCTGTGACTGATTCCACTGTTGATTCAGTTTTAAAGTTTTATAGTGTTGTTTGAATTTGTCCCATATGTGTGCCACCTTGTAATTAGTCTTGGACCTGAGGGAAATTGTTACTTTAGTTCTCAGTGTTTTTAGTATGCTAATTAGGATAAGAGCCTGCATATTCAGGTGAAAGAAGTGAGCCCAGGAGTTCATACAGAACTTTATGGAATTGTTTTCCCTTTCCACTATCTCTGTAGTACTTTCAGGTTTTTTGAGATTTCTCTGTTTGGATCTCTGGTCAGAAACCACTTGCTTCCACAATTGTTCCACCTCTAGTACCAGTTGGTGGAAGAGTAGATGGGGGAAAGACTGATAAAAGGCTTTGGATCTACCATCATGCTGCCTTAACTTCATCAAATGAAGTTTCTTTTCCTTTAGGGTTCTGGCTCCTGTGGGCTCCTGTTGGTAGCCACTGTTGCTGCTACCATTGTTATGGGAGATCTTGGAGTCTGTGACATGAGAGATTGGAGAAAATAGATTGAACTCTCCCACCTCCATGAATTACCCCCAAGATTTTCTCTGAACTTTTAGGGTTTTTTGTGTTTTTTTTTTTTCTGATTCCTTCAGCCAGAAATAGGGGGATTCTTCTGCATCTTTCTCTGTCTGCATGAGAGTGTTCACTTCGAGATTTGAGGCTACATTGGATTCAGGCTGGAGAGATATTGGAGGTAAAAGAAATGCAGACTTGGTGGTGTGTGAATTATAGTTTTCTTCCCCATTCTACTTTTTTCTCAGGTAGCTGCACTACTTGATCCTCAAGTAGCTGCGTTATCCATTCTGTCCAGGTTTTTACAGTGGTCAGTTGGATAAAAAAGGTATTGTGTGTCTATTCCATCTTACCTAGAACTGGACCCCTGCTACATTTTGAGAATATATTGGATATAAGCCCTTTATTAAATAATGATTTACAAATATTTCCCCTGGTTTGTGGCTTATCATTTCATTCTCTTAAAAGTGTCTTTTAAAGAGCAAAAATGCTAATTTGATGAAGTACAGTGTATCTTTTTAAAATATTTCTACTTTTGAGATCAGATCTAAGATATCTTTGCCTAATGCAAGGTCACAAAGATTTTTTTCTATGCTTTATTCTAGAAGTTTTATAGTGTGAAGTTTTACATTTATGTCTAGAATCCATCTTGAATTTTATATATGGAATGAGATATAGATTTAAGTTCATTTATTTGGATATGGATGTCAAAATGTTTCAGCACCCTTTACTGTAAAAACTACTATTTCTCCACTGACTGCCTTTATACCTTTGTAAAAAAAAAATTAGTTTCCCTATATATATGGTTCTATTTCTGGACTCTATTCTGTTCCATTATTCTGTCTTTTGTGGTAAAATATGCATAATATTTATCATCTTAGCTATTTATAAGGGTATAATTCAGTGACATTAAGTACATTCACAATGTTGTATAATCATCACCATTACCTATATCCAAAACTTTATCATCCTCAACATAAACTCTTTATCTATTAAACAATAACTCTCAAATTATCTCTTCATCCCAGCCCTTGGTACCCTCTATTCTACTTTCTCTCTATATGAATTTGCCTGTTCCAAGTACTTCGTATAAGTGGGCTCATACAATATTTGTCCTTCTATGCCTGGATTATTTCCTTTAGCATAATGTTTTCAAAGTACATCATGTTGTAGAAATACAAAAATTCCATTCCTTTTTATGGCTGAATACTGTTCCATTATATGTATATACTTGGAGATAGTTGAGTTTCTTGGATTTGTAGATTGATGCCTTTCATCAAAATTGGGCCATTTTCAGCCATTATTTCTTCAAATATTCTTTTTTTTTAAAGATTTTATTTATTTGACAGAGAGAGACACAGCGAGAGAGGGAACACAAGCAGGGGGAGTGGGAGAGGGAGAAGCAGGCCCCCCACGGAGCAGGGAGCCCGACGCTGGGCTCGATCCCAGGACCCTGGGACCATGACCCAAGCTGAAGGCAGATGCCTAACGACTGAGCCACCCAGGCGCCCCTCAAATATTCTTTCTGTCCCTTTCTTTTCTTGCCTTCTAGGACTCCCACAATTCATATGTTGATCCATTTGGTGGTGTCCCTCAGGTCCCAGGTCCCTTAGATTCTCTTCATTTGTCTTTTTAAAAATTTTTTGCTTCTGTTCAATTACACTATCTTCACTAATTCTTTTTTCTGTCTGCTCAAATCTGCTTTTGAACCCCTCCAGTGAATTTTTCGTTTCAGTTATTGTAACTTTCAGCCTCAGAATTCTTTTGGTTCCTTTTTATAATGTATTTCTCTTTATTGATATTCTTATTTCATTCATGCATTGTTTTCCTTTGTCCCTGTCTTCCTTTAGTTCTTTGAGCCTCTTAAAAAGACAGTTTTAATGGGGAAATTGGAGAGGGAAACGAACCATGAGAGACTGTGGACTCTGAAAAACAAACTGAGGGTTCTAGAGGGGAGGGGGGTGGGAGGATGGGTTGGCCTGGTGGTGGGTATTGAGGAGGGCACCTTCTGCATGGAGCACTGGGTGTTATGCAGAAACAATGAATCATGGAACACTACATCAAAAACTAATGATGTATGGTGATTAACATAACGTAATAATAAAATCATCTGCTTATCTCTGGGAAAAAAAGACAGTTTTAAAAAAGTCTTTGTCTAGTAATCTCAGTGTTGGGGCTTCCTCAGGGTCAGTGTCAATTAATTTTGTTCCTTTGGATGGTCCATACATTTCTATTTCTTTGTATGCCTGTGATTTTTTTGTTATTTGAAAACTGGACATTTGAATCTTTTAATGTGTTAACTCTGGAAATCAGATTTTCTTCCTTCCCCCAAATTTGCTGTTTTTTTTCTTTTTGTTTTGTTTTGCTTTGGTTTTGTTTTTGATTGTTAAAGGGTGTCTCTGTGTTGGGGATTAGCCAGAGTTGAAAGCTCAAGGTCTCCTCAGGTCTTTTTGAGCCAGTGTCTTTCCTTGGGCTTGTGTGATGGTGGCTTTCTAAATTCTTCTATATGTATATTTGCTTTTGAGTGACCTAATCCTTAAATGTGTGACTCCCAAAACAAGGGAAAGGGTAGGGAAGAAACCCAAACTTGTGTCATTCCTTCAAATGCTCTGGAAGCAGCTGTAGTCAATAGGGGTTGAAACAATGGTGGCCAGAAACTGCTAGCCAAGATTTCCCCTGAAAGCTGCAAGCATTTAAATAATGAGAGCTCCAAGATAGTTAATACACTTCCTGCCAGTACAGTTGTTGTGTACCTAGAGAAAGGGATTCCTGGTGCTTCCTACCCCTCCAGCTTCTCTGAGGTTACTTTCATATAATCTTTTATAAAGTTCTTTCTCAGCTGTCCTGAAAGGAACCAAGGGAGGAAGTATTCACCCCTGGGCCAGTGCTTTAGAGACCAGAAGAGTGTTCCTTAGATCAGACTAATGAGGCAGTGGGAAAACCTGTCCCCCCCGCCCCCGACAAGAATATGGAAAATCAGAAAGATAAAATGTAGACTACCTGGACAAACATGTTGCCTCACTTGAGGATGGACTTCCAGGACCCAAATCCTGGTATATCTGGGTCCTGTTTCCCTTAAGATGAGTCCCCCTTTTCCAGGACTGAGGAGTCTCTATTTTGGTCTATCTTCAGTTGCATGCAGACTACAATTTGGGGCTCGAATATTGAAGGCAACCTTTTCCTGACCCTTGGGAGTGTTCCTTTGTCAAATGCACTTAAAATGAATACAAAGAGATCCCAGTTCTCCAGGGACTGGCAGTTAGATTGAGCAGCTGCCCTTAAATAACATACCTTTAAGTAGAGTGTATGGTCCTCTATTAATGGTGTTCAGTATATTCTGCCTTGATCCTAGAGAGAAGCAATTTTATTGCTTTTTGCCTTTCAGCACATCTGTACCCAGCACATATTTGTTGAATTAATGCATTGGGTGGAACAGTTGGATAGGTTCTCTGTAAGAATTTACTGCTAGGACCCTTATTTGCACCTAATAATCATGTATGCAAATATATGTATGAACTTCTGTAGACTTAAGTATAAGTAGTCCCTAGACAGTGATTCTCAAACCTTGCTACTCATCAGAATCTCCTGAAGAACTTTCCCCAAACCCTAATACCTATGTTTTAACCATAGAGATTGTTTTAATAAGTCAGGGGTGGGAGCCAGGAATATGTAGTTTCCAGAAAAAAAATACCTGCGTTATTCTGATAGGCAGCCAGAGTAGAGGACCACAAACCTTTGACTGCCTAAGACAATCTAGTAGTCACAGTAGAGGATATAAAGTGCTTTCTATTATTTAGGGAGATTCTGGGTTAGACGTTATAGCATACAGTCAAGAGCAGTAGTTTTGGAGCGTGGAGGTTGTATTCCATTCTCAGCATAGTCACTTCCAAGCTGTTAGCCTTAGACAAACTAATCTTTCTGGGCTTTGGGTTTTTTGGTTTTTGTTTTTAATAGAATAGGGACTTTACGGTTACCATTAGAATTTATGTAAATCCTTCCTTAGCACAATACCTCTATTACAGCATACAATAAATGTTAGATTTATTCTGGTGTACACACGTGCCACTGGATTAGTTCGTATGCAGAATATACTGAAGTACACCTTCTCCAGTCAGTTCTTTAGGAAACTGGTGGGGGGTGGGTGCTAGTTTTCCGGTACCCCAGCCAAGTGAAGGTCAAAAGCCAACCAAAAATGAGGAGTACTATTGGTACTGGTTGTTTTCCGGGCTCCAAGTGCTGTGCTACACATTGTCCACCAGGGGCCGCTGAAGCCACCTAAGCTCAGCGCGCAAAGGGGAGGCCTCCGCGCGTGCTCACTGGGTGCTGCGCGCGCCTCCGAACCCCTGCGCCACTTTAGATTTCGCCTGCTGTTTTCCTGGTGGCTTCCCCAAACCAAACCTCTGTGGCTGAGTACGGCAGCGCTTCGGGGACAAAAATCTTTCTCTTCTCTGGGCTCGGCCTTGCTAATTGTTCCGTGGTTAAATCGGACGGCAAGTATTTGGGTCCCCATTGCGCTGCTATTCAGGAGGTAGGGGGAGGCTGAGCCCGGCGCTGAGTTCGGGCTGACTGGGGCTTGGGCCCAGCGAGTCGGTGCCGCTGCGCGGATGTTGCGATGGCTGATCGGGGGAGGCCGAGAACCTCAGGGACTGGCGGAGGTAAACACCCAGGGGACCCTGCCTGCCCCCGCAGAGGCCGAGCTTGCCCGAGCGGTGGCTTCGGTCTGAGCCCTGCTCCCCGTCCAGACGCTGGAGCCCCATGCAGAGGCGGGGCCTGTGGGTTTGGAGGCTGTCGAGGGCGTGGTTGGCGTGCGGGGGAGGGGGGATTGGCGCGGATGGGGACGCTCTGACTAGCTAGTCGGAACTCCTGATTCCCTTAAGACCTCGAGAATTAATTATCCCCTTTTCAAAAGGAGGAAACTGAAGCTGATATGATTCAACAACAGGTTCAAGAACTAGTCTTCTCCGTACTTAAACTAGCTTCATTTCGATTATAAAAATATCTTACTAAGAAGCAAACAAGTGGTGACTGCAACTTTCTAGTTTATTAGTATTGGTGTCACTTCCCAAGAACAACTGATGCTTGCTCAGGGAATAGAAAATCTATTTGATTATTTATTCAACAACAACAAAATATAAAATTATTTTTAAAAATTAATAATTTGCTTCAAAGTCAAGAAAAATTTTTTTCTAATTAACTCCTATTTTTGGTTCCATAGTCACTCTTTCTTCATGGGCCTGAATAATTGGACTGACTGTAATTTACATTTGAAATGTTGAGAATAAAATAATTTTGGAATCTTAAAAGGATTGAGGTCTGGAATTTATTTCGGTTGCCACCCTAGAATTAGAGTTTGTATTTGGATTCCCTTTTACTTATCATAGGAAATAGTTGTTTTGATTGTTTAAAAAGTTGGGGTTGTGAGTCAGCAGCCTTACTTCTCACTTTTAACTTCCTCATACCTTTGCAATTGAGGCTTACTGTCTATTAAAAAAAATATTTCAGGGACGCCTGGGTGGCTCAGTCGGTTAAGCGTCTGCCTTCGGCTCAGGTCATGATCCCAGGGTCCTGGGATTGAGCCCCGCATTGGGCTCCCTTCTCC